GAAACGTAATGGTGGGGGGGTGTATAGCGGCAAGTGGAGTTGGGAATCTTGTTTTTATACACGAAAAAATGGATAAGCTTGTTTATTTAAGACTTTTACAATTTGCTTCTGAGCGTAACTAAATTAGGCTTAAATGGAGAGAAATGGCAGTCCCAGCAAGACAGTGATCCCAAAGACACTTCGCGTTTGGTTCAAGAGTGGTTAATTTATAACTGCAAGCAGCTGAAAACACCTCCACAATCCCCTGATCTCAATCCCTTTGAGTATATTTGGCATTGGCTTGAAAAAAAAATTTCGCAAGCACTAAATAACTTCGAAAGAATCCATTAAAAATGCTCTGAAGGAAGAATGGGCCAATATTACCAGTCGGGAGACTTCCCATTTGGTCGCAAGTATGCAAAGGTGTTTGCAAACGATTATTAAAGCCAAGCGAGGTGCAACAAAATATTAAACATTTTCATTTGAAGAAAACTTCATCTTTTGTATTACCATTTTTATATTTTGTGCCAATACTTTTTTGATATGAATATGACTCTTTCCATTATTTTCTTAATAATTTTCTACTTGTATGAATTTTTTATTTTTAATTTTTGTATATATGTATTAAAAAACGTTATTTAAACAAATATGCTTGTTTTTTGTTTGGTATGTTCAGTTAATTAAAAGTTATATTAAAGCAAAGTGGAAAAACTGAGGTGTGCCAAAACTTTTTTGATTCCCTGTATATATTAGAACATATTCAGAGAAAGACGTAATATGGTTGATGAAAAATTAAAATTGTTTCGACCCGTTAGCTGACACAGTTAAGCCAGTGAAACAAAAGTCGTTATTACAACGATCTACATGTGTACGTAAGATAAATATGTATATATAGAAAATGTGTTGTCTTTAATAATTTAGATTTGCTATCGAAAGTTTTCTAAAGGATAGAAAAAATAAGAATTTCATGTGAAAGAAAACCCATATGGAGATGGTACCAAAAGTACAGAAGTGAAAAAAGCGAGGAAGGGTAATAAATAGCATGAAAAATACACCCCAATGACGAAGAAAGGTTTTTATTTTTGTATTAAACTAGCGCTTTGCGGGGCAAGATTTTGCTTTATCTATATATATATATATATAAGAAAGTATGCCTGTATGTTCCGGGTAGGCTCCGAAACGGCTGGACCACAACGCGTCGAAGGTGTTCATTTCGGAGATGGATGATGATATCGCGTCGCTCGAATTCTGTTCCGACCATACCCACTGCAACGTCGTCTTTTACCGGTGCATTTCATCGCCGCTTATGCTCCCCGGGTGGTGTTTTGTCTGCCCTTATCACAACCTATAATCATCTATCGGTATCTGGTCTAGAGCTGTTTTGAATGAACGTTTGAGGCTGTTATATTCATGAAACATAGTTTGAAGTCTAAGACGATTTCTCGTTCTAATTGCCCAACGCCGATCAGCTTCTGCAGTTTCATTACCGGTGAAATAAATTAGTAAAAACTTGGGATCTTCATCTGGGAGCAATGATCCAATTCTGTCGTAAATTTGACCTTGCACTTTAAAAGTGGGCATGTAACTGGCATTGTTCACTATGTGGGTTGTTCCAAAGGACGTCATTTGGACGCATGAATTATACTTTCGGATGTTTAAAAAAAAGTGTTTGGAAGTTGAAGGGCGCTTAGAAACATAACTAAGAAGTGGCTCAAGTGGCTTCATCAATGGTGACAAAACAACTTTACTGTTCGAACAGCACATTCCAGGGGACCCTTAGCGAACTTCAGAGCACCACAATGTGTACAAACTTTGTTCATTGCACCGATCACAACGTCTTTGTGATTTCTGTAAGCATTATCCTTATTGTTGTTGAACGCCGCAAGATTTAATTTTTTTTTTTTTGTAATTTTAGCAATTCGGTTACGATTGGCATCAAGTCTTTGCGTACGTTTTTGGATTGTCTCGGTAGTTAGCGATGAAGATTTTTTTCACTATCTTGTTGAAGTCGTGATTCATGCTCTTCTTTGGTTTATTGGTTCTGTTTCATTTGCTCTTTTTTTCCTTAACAGTCTGTGATTTGGAGGTTTTTTTTTACCAATATTTGATTTTTTGGGTACCATTTTTTATTTATTACAATGATTCTGTGAAGAAAAATAAAATTTTCCGTTGTAACAATCAATTGAAAACGCATTAGTCAGTAAACGGATACTTTCGCGACGCTGCAACTTACTTGGATCCGTAATTATTTTCTTCAATATACTCCATTGTACTTAAATACATATGTTTCATATTGACATATAGTATACTGTATTTAACAGTTCAAAAAAGTGCTCTTACAGGATTACTCGTCAGGTCAATCTAAAGATTTCCTGAAAGTTTCATTGAAATTGGTCCAGCCGTTTCGGAGCCTACCCGGATCATACAGACATACTTTCTTTTATATATATGGTATATAGATAGATAGATAGATTCAGCTTTAAAAAAGTATGAGTACAATACATTTAAAGTGAATTCTATCAATTTTGTTAAGTTTTTTTTTTCGATTCATCAAAAATATTCAACTTTTATGTATTTGCACACCGTAATGTTCATTTGGCTTAATTGTGTGAGCGCAAGTGTATCTTATTTTAAGATGATTTCGATATTATTTTCGAAGACGGGAAGAAAAATACTGTTATATAGAACTAAGTGAGTTTATAACTTTCATTATGATTTAATTTCTTTCGCAACATTTTTATACTCTTGCAACATGTTGCTACAGGGTCTAATAGTGTTGTTCACCTAACGGTTGTACGTATCACCTAAAACTTATAGAGGTATAGAGTTATATATATATAAACCATCAGGATGGCGAAACGTAACTTGAGTAAAGAATTACATATCTTGATCTAACTTGGTATGTTTGTTCCTTGGCAAACAAAAGGACTAGTTCGTAGATGGCTTTTAGGTAAAATCACATATCTCAAGACCCGCTCGATTGATTTCAATAAAATTTAGTATGTGACAATCCTTTGACAGTATTACAGTGTGAAAATGGGAGAATCAGCCACATTTACTTCGCATATAACGCAATTTTAAATGCCATCTGATTCTTTTCAATCAAGTGTGCAAATCAAGAAGTAAGACTATTATCACATAAAACTTTGCACGAATAATTAGAGTATGCTATCTTAAGTTCAAATTCAGCAAAAACTGTTTAAGTCTAAAAGACCTTATGGACTTTAGGGAACTTTCCTGGCTTTAATCCTTGCAAGTTGCAAGATTGTGAAATGTGCGGTTATACCCGAAGTTACTTCTTCTTATATAAAATTTTGCAACATCTGAAGGTATTTCCCCGGCTTTGATCCTTGCAAGTTGCAAGAGTATCAAATGTTCGGTGACACCTGAACTTAGCCTTTCCTTATGCTTGTTTTTGCTATTTAGTCTAATATGACAAGGTTAAATTTAGCTGATCATGGTGACGTGAGAGTTTGCGAGACAAATTGCGTAGGTTTTTATTGCACCTCAATAATTGTGTCGGTTAACTGGTTCCAACTTGGGTGGTAAGTTTTCTTGACATAAAAGTATATCTGTCGAAAGCTTGCAAAAATTCGTATTACAAATCTTCCATCTCGGCGACCTTGACTTTTAATTGAAAATGTAATAAAAGATAAGATCGGTATTAGATGATTATCGTTTTTAATTTGTTCCAAAGCAAAATCGGTAAATTCATGAAGTTTAGGGTCTTCAGTTCTTGAGTGAGAACAATTTAATACGGATGCTTTCTCAAAATCCGGCATGTTTTGAATGACAGCAACATGTTCATTACCTCGAGCGGTTCTTTGCCTTATTGGAACTTGAACGTTTTCATCTTTCATAACATATTTCTTTTTAATTCACTAACTGGCGAGTAAGATGGCAAAAATTATCAATTTCAATTAGAAAGCTTCAAAAAGAGTATCGTGTAAAAAAAGGTTATTCATAGCGAATAGCTTTATAGTCAAACAGATGTTTTATCCTATAAAATTAAAAAAAAAATCCATAAATATAACGGAACTATTATATTACAATTATATTTAACATAAATAACTTACAATGCCATTTTAGCTAGCACAGTTGGTTTTGGTGTAAATATTTGTGCAACTACTTTTTAATGTTGCAAGTTTTTCGCGCTTTTGGCTTTCAGCAACGACAATGATGCTTTCGAGCTTTAAATTTTTAGTAACGACGCCTGGTTTGCTTTTTCGAACAGTTTGCATTACGCATATTACCCTTTTTGCATTACCCAAAACGCTTCAACTTCCCAGAACTTAATTTTTTTTAGTTAAATGAAGCTTTCACTCAGTACTGGAGATATACGACTGCAACGACATCTATTGACAAAATACGAAAAAAAATTGACTACCCAATATTATTTAGTGATTTGTTTGTATACCGGAAAAGTAAAAAATTTGATGGAATTTAAGGTTGTGTTATATGGGAAGTAGGCGAGGTTGCTGTCCGATTTCGCCCATTTTCACATCATAACATGGGTATGTTACAATTGTTTTGTGTATCACTGTCCAACAGTTGCTCTATTAAAACCATCTCTCGCATTCAGTTATTGATTTCTCGTCATCTGGATTTCAAAATATCTTCATTCTGATCATTTATGTGTATAACCCCTAACATCCATTTCGATTTATTCTAGGCGATAGGAACAACTATTAGGTGAATAAAGCTATTAAAATCTGTAGCAACCTGTTGCAAGAGTATAAAAATTAAAATTAATATATTCACAGCTCAGAAAATGTTTCTAGTATTAACAATTTATGCGAAATTTTTGGAGAAAACTTGACTTTTAAAAACAAATTTCAATTACATATTGAAAAGTAAAAAGAACTTTTTCTTCAGTTTTGGATCCGAAACTCAAAAGTTTTAATAGTTTAGGAGATAAGTTTTTTGTTCACTGTATGTATGTATATACATATACATATACAATGTGATACTTTCCACAATAAGATTACTAATGATTTCCTTACAATATAATATAATTGCAGATTGTCAGCTCCTTCGATTTGATACGAAAAGAGAGACAACAGCAATTGAAGGCAGCAGCTCAAGCTGAAAAGGCGGCAAAAGCACAAAAGCAGCAGCAGCAGCAACAACAACAACAACAAAGCAATGCCAATTGTAATAACAGCGGACGGGTGCGCGCTAAATCGCAGGGGGATAAAATGTGCGTGCAAAATGCTAATAAAACTAACACCAACAACAATGGTGGCAACAACAAACATCGTGTACAAAAACAAATCTCAATGAGTATTGTCAACTCAAATGCAACAGCCAATAATGATAATAACAAAAGCAATCGTAACAATAATGCCACCCACAACACTGCCACTCCTAACACCAGAGTTGCAACAAGCCCTACATCGGCTTCCAGCTCTGGTGCAGAGCTACTGGCATTTGCTGCAAAATCATCAGCGGCTCCTACTATGTCTGCAACAACGAATTCGGCCCAGAAACCCCGTCCGGCATCAGTATCTTCACATTTTGCATCATCCCCTAATTCGGTGGCTTCGGGCACGAATTTGCGCATACTAAATCGCAGCACATCTTATCAGCCACTGACGGAACAGCAAGAACTGCAGACAAAAACAAAGCAGTCAGAAGCTGAAAACAATGAAGTGCCGCGCCAGCAGCAAGCACAGTTGAAATTCACACCAAGTTTCAATTCGTGGACAAATTTCTCATTTACAAAAAATTTTATTGCAAACATATTTTGTTAGAAGTACACAAGTCGATCTACTAGTATGCTTAGTAGAATTGCAGATTGATTGAAGAAGAGTGAGGTGAAAGCGGAATTGTATGCCTGATTTTTAGGTTAAGTGTGCGAAGGGGGTATCCATTGGAGGGGGGAACATAAGAAGTTAAAATTCTTGTATTTGGTATTAAAATTTTTACAGTTTTACAACGAATATGTATGAATAAATATCGAAGTGCATGTTATTGATAAGCGAGTCTATGCGATGCTTGGTGATATCTGAGATATTTGAAAACAACAATATGTATATAAAGTTCCAAAAATTAAACAGACATTACTAACATTGAATAATCATTTATTTGAATATGCTACAGGGAATTTTAGCTTTTTATGTTTTACCGCGCCAACACTTCGTGGATGTAGCTGTTTTTTTTTCTAAGTGTACCTACTAGAAAATCTACTACTTTATTTCTATTGGTTTTTTTTTTAATCTAATTTGATATTTTTTTCTCTTAATTTTTGTAAAACTGAAGCGTACAGACGAAATCTAAGCTTGACTTCTAATTTTAGTTTACTTTATAAATACAAAAAACAATTACTTTCATTGGAAAACTAACGATTTTTCAATACATTTATGAAACCTTAACATGTAGATCATTGTGAAATTTAGGTTATCCCAATGAACAAATATTAGGATAATTAAAAATCAGTTGATGAAAATGCCACCTACAAATAGTGAGAAACCGCTAGACGACTCATAGGTAGGCCAAAGCGTATATGTAGCCATAAATTGATGGTATATATGTAAGAACTAACATAACCATCATTTCATTCCATCATCGTGCTCTACCAACGCCTTGTGATAGTACAATAAATTTTACTTTTAGTTTTAATGATAACTCATGTATGTACTGAAATGTAAAAAAAGTGCAAAGTAACTTGTCGTATGCAGAAATGAAATGCCTATTTTTGTCGCTCTATATAAAAAATGCTCTTATTAAGCTCTTCCATTACCAATATTGAAGATTAATTCCAGTACAAATTTTCTTACTGTTTTCATGTGGCATTTGAGCGCAAAATAATAATTGTACAAATGTACCTCGAGTTTATTGCATTTTTTATTATTACTGATAATTATGTTCAAATTTCCTTGGACAAGAAATTTATTTACCGTAACATATTTTTGTTTGTGATTTGTAATAATTAAACTTTTCCCGTTGAGTTCCTTTCTAGATGTTTAACTTCGACATGAGTTTAAAGTGCAAAATTACTTAGAATACATAAATATAACTGAAATCGAACATGAGGCACATACTGCTGCGCCCTTTAGCACGAAATTTAATTATAATTTGAAGTCACCTTGACATGTAACTTGAATTGGCTTTGAGATGAATGAAAGCATTTTCACAATTGATAAATTTTAATTTAATTTTTTTTTATTCACTTTTAAATAAAAGAAGTGCGAATATTTTTTGTTGTAGAATTCGCAAAAAGATGAAGAAGAAGAATAAGATGTTGGGAGTCGGTATTAATTGTGTTTGCACTTATTATTTACACTACGTTTATTTTTTATGGTCAAAATTTTAATTTTTTTGACACGCATGCGTAAAATTAAATACTAAGTTTTTAAGTATATAGACTGGTTAAAATAATAATTCCTTTACTCGTAAATTTTATATGAAAATTTTCTTTAAAAAATCTTTATATAAATAAATTCTACTTCTATCTTTTATTTGAAAATGCAATAACTATATTTTAATTTGTGTATATTTTAATGATAGTTCTAAAAAGTAAAAAGTGCAAGCACATTTAATACCAAATGAGCCAAATAACAAGTGTCGGTTTTAGAAATCATTCAATACATCTAAGCAACATATCGTTTGTTAATGCTATGCAATAACACCTGAGTTATAAGACTACATTTTAAGATTTAGTTTTATAAAGAATTTTAATTACAAATAATATATAGAATGTCAGAGTGGTTTCTTCAACCGGCATACGGTGATTTGGCACATAAAAAAATTAAAAAAAAAAAAACAAAAAAAAAAATTGTGCTCACTCTTCACACATTTTAAATAGTATAACGCAAAATAAACCAGTTCATTCAATGTCTATTGGCCAACCTAAAAACTTTAAATCCAACACATTGCAATAGCTTAAAATGTGAGCAAATCCGAAACGCAAAACGACCCTTAAAACAATAAACCAAAAATTTGACAAAGTACAAAATAAAAGACGAATTTGTTAAACTTCAATAATTGCCTGAAATATACTTTATCAATAAAATTTCTAATTAGAATTCAACTTCCATTTTTATAATTAAAAAAATATTGTTTACAGCAACTTCAGTAATATCTTGTACAATTATAATAACTTAGATTTAAAGCTCTTAATATTGTTAGCAACCCTTTACCTTTTCAATAAAGATTGTAAATTAGCAATAGTGAAAGTTTAGTCGTCACCTGAGTGAGCAGAAGGAGTAAATGCTTTAATATTTTTTTATAAAAAATACACGTGGTTATGTGCAACATTGAAATATTTCAGTAACACCATCACCTTGTTACCTATAATCAAATATAACATCTACCAGCTTAAGTGTATGCTAAATATTGCTTTAAGTACGTTTATTTAATAGTGAATTGTTGTTATTGAGCGTAATTACATGCAATGATGTGATAAGCCCAAAGAGCTAATACTTACTATTACTAAATTTAGAGATTATAAAACTCAAACGAGACATATGTATTTAAATTTTAAAGTTAACGACGCAACCCATAAATTGCAACAATTCAAAATTACCAGTCACAATTACAAAAATATGTTCTAATTAATACTACTTTATAAAATATTTGTTGAAAATATAACCTCCCTATGAATCAGCTTCATTTATTTATCCAATAATCTATTTATTTTTGTAATAATAAGCTATTAGCAATCAGCAACTGAAATATTAAGTTAACAACGACCTAACGCCATGCATAATTACTTTCCAAAAGTATTTAGACTTTGTTCCTTTCCTGCTTGATGCAATTACCTGAATATATTTAACGTACACAAACTACGTTTATGTCAGAAAAATTTTGTATATATAAACTTTCGAAAATATTGTATTATTATGTGACACTAAATATTGTTAAAAATTCTAAATCATCTGTGTTAATAAAAGTCTTTTTTTATTTTGTACTTTCGATAACCAACACCAACCAACCACCTAAACAAATTGTTTCAATTGTTATGGGCGCGGGTGTGGGGGTAGGTTACAATGGGGGGCTAGTCACACGTTCAATATTTATTGTGATATTTGGATCGTTATCCATATTGATGCCCACATTCAATAATTATCCCGTCTGTATTTGTTCGAAATAAATCAAGTTTGAACCAAAGATGTTAAAAAAAAGCTGTATTACTTCTTTAATTTTTTGTCTGTTTTTCGGTGGAAAAATGGAGGGATTAGTTTCTTCGTTCCACCACTAATAAAAAACGTAAAACAATGCAAATTAAGGGAAAATGTGAAACTTAAATGTATTTGATGAAACATTTTGTACTGTGATGTCATCATATCATCATATTTTTCAACGGAAATCTAACAAGCTTAAACACTTTCAAGCGATTACCATGATTGTGGTAGAACAATATTTTACCCGCTAATATTTGCAAGGCAAAACCTATGATGGGAAGTCCTTACTACATCAGATTGAATTAATTAATGTTCTCAAGGTCAAATTTGTGACGAGAATGCGCTTATGTATATCATTACACTATACGCCTACTTCCCATATAGCACAATTTTATACTCACTCAGTGTGTGCTACCTTATGACCAAAGATTGTTCAAGTCTAATAAAAACTGTTCAAACCACTACCGCATATATCGGCCAATATGTCAGTTATCTGAATGAAAATGAGAAATGAAATGAGTATGGTTTACTCGTAACAGTGTATCTTTCTTACGAGTAAACCAACAGTGTATCTTTCTGCCTAAAATAGATAAAGTTGAGAGAAAATTTGATCTAGCCCCTATATAAATAAAATTACGATTTTTGAACATCCGGCTGACTTGTGATGGCTTTTTATAGTATTTGGCATGTTAGTAGTATGTGGTTGTTGGCAGCCCTTGCCCATATGCATATAATTATGTTAAATTTTTGTGTTTATTTTACAGTTGAATGTTTCATTTTCATCTCTCTTTAAATTGTCACGAACTTCATATTATATACATATATTATTCCAACTGTAATGCTTCTGCTACTTGTTTGTGCAATTTGTATATTTGCTATTTCCCCTTCTTCGCATAAGCATAAGCAGGTAGGCGCAAGCGCCATTTAGTTATCTGGGCTTATATACTTGTTGTTTGTAAGCTGCAGTATGTGTTCCCCCTATCCTAGCTGTGCTGATCTGCACGGTAAATGCGAGTGCCCTTGTGCATATATGCCACTTCACAACGTGTTTGAGCTTATTCATCGATCAGGCAGGAAAGTGGAAGGACATAATGCGATAAGTAGTAATCAATAATGTAATAATTTATAAATGCCTATTGCCTTACATACTATGTTATTTAGAAATAAACCATTTGGAACCATTTAAACATTGCTCCATTTGAAGCTACTTTGGAAACCAAACCAAATGCGTTAAACTCGCCCCACTTGATCGATGACAGTGGTATTGGGAAAAATAGATGACATCGGGTCTATACTACCTCAACTGCCATATACTACATATGTATGATACATAATGATTCCTACGATTTTAATAATTAATAATAATAATACCCAACGGTTGTCCTCTTCCCGCCCAACCGACGCCGAGCGGCGCAATCCCCAAGCGAGCGGAATTAGCCGAGTCATAAAAGGCAAGAGAGTTTTAAGCGTTGCGATATCTTAGGCTGTTCAGCTGCAGAAACAAAAATTTCAGCAGCTAAGATTAAGAATAAGATTAAAGTAAGTTTATTATTTTTAAATGTTACTTGTTAAAAGTAGATGAAATATTTTTTTTAATGGTAAAGAGTTAGATGAAATGTGCTGGAATGAGAATTGAAATCGTGACACAATGGTTCGTTTAACTCAAAATTTGTTTTAAAAAATTTAAAAAGAAGTGGTCTAAACTGCCTGGTAGAGCGAGCGGGAACGTTAAAATTAATATAAGGTAAGAGAGATGGACTGACCCATTTATGACTTTTACAAGATATATTACACCAATCATTTCTCTACGACTAGCGAGTGTAAGGAGATTTATAAGTTTTAAGCGTTTAGTGGAAGATTTAAAATGGAATCCCAACGCAAATGATTTAAGGCAAAAAGTAAAAATTGTTTTTAAACGGACTCTAACATCTCCGAATAGACTAGATAACTA